GGTTGAGACTTTGGGAAGATATAATTTTTTTGGAACATTGGCGTTAAATAGCCTGGTCGATATTATTTTGAGACACGTCATGGCCCCACCTGGGTCCCTATTGTCACAATGGGTCATTTCATGTCGGGTTCACTCAAGTTCCTATCGTATCAGCGTAGAACAATAAAACTGAGATAAGAGTCTGACTGATAAACGACGCAGTTTGGGTCGTCATGGACGTAACTCTGGAACCACGAGCGAAACATAACTCTGGAATCACGAGCGAAACATAACTCTGGAATCACGAGCGAAACATAACTCTGGAATCACGAGCGAAACATAACTATGGAATCACGAGCGAAACAAATGTGTCCTCCGACTCGGCGATTCTCCTCTGAGATCCACAATCTCAATAACGGACAGCATACGGATTTGAGACAGACTCAGAGAAACACACTAATCTACTGGGAAGCCTCACGATTGTAATTCTCTTCGGACAAAAGAATTGCAGAAAATGCAGGCAAATACACTCCAAGTGTTTTGTAAAAGAAAAACATCCTGATGACAAACGCTTCAATAAGTTCTAAAACAACGTCTCGTTCATTTGACAATGTTACCAGTAGTCCATTCAATCGCACGGCCTAACCAGAGACATTTGAACAACTATAGTTTTGAAAATCTTCTTTTGCACCGTGCTACGGTTACCAACACTGTTCAAAATATTTTGCACTCGCTGCGCTTACCGGCACTGTTAACATCATTTTTGTACGCGATTGCAGTGATCGGATACGAATCTCCAAGCAGCACAGTCAATTGAAGACGCTGTAATGCTGTTTGTACTTCTCACGGAATCATTTCTCTCAGTGACTCTTAGGACCTTCAGCTCTCCTAGTTAGTCTTAATCACCACTTCCCAACAGTATGTCCCAATCCACACAGTGTTTGCTCAATTTGTCTCTTCCACGGACTTGCAGAATATCATACAGAAAAAAAAAAAAAGTCAAACTGAAGCTGCACTTGCTGGAAACTTATCTTCAAGGATCACAACCCCTGGTCTAGCAACCACAAGATTCTTTTACGTCTGTTGTGCCTCGTGTGTCTGTTGTGTCTCGTGCGTCTGTTGTGTCTCGTGAGTCTGCTGTGTCCCATGCGTCTTTTGTGTCTCGTGCGTCTCTTGCGCCTCATGCGTGTGTTGTGTCTTGTGAGTCTGCTGTGTCTCGTGCGTCTTTTGTGTCTCGTGCGTCTGTTGTATTTCGTGTGTCTGTTGTGTCTCGTGCGTCTGTTGAGTCTCGAGCGTGTATTGTGTCTCGTGCGACTGTTGTGTCTCGTGCGTGTGTTGTGCCTCGTCCGTCTGTTGTGTCTCGTGTGTCTGTTGTGTCTCATGCGTATGTTTTGTCTCGTGTGTCTCATGCGTGTGCTTTGTCTCGTGTGCCTGTTGTGTCTCGTGCGTGTGTTGTGTCTCGTGCGTCTGTTGTGATTTGTCCATAGCTTCACATTCTAACTTCCCTATTTGTTCGCCTATTGCAGCGTTATTTGAACCGGTTTGATGTTCTCCTCTCACGCGATTGCCCCTTGCCTTGGCCACCGCTGATACAAATCCATCTTCTCTGCGTTAAGTGAAGTAAGTGATTAGACACTGGACACGCTTAGTGGCCACATCAAGTTGGATAATTTAAAGTCTGCAAGATCGGAAGGCTGAAGATTTGATGATCTTGTACCGCCACATATTGTTTTGAGAGGAAATTACGAACTATGAATGAGTGTAGGCAAGGCCTGGCCATTCTAATTATACAAAACAATCGGGGCGCCCCCCCCCCCCCCACCAGCGCGGGGCCTGGGGTGCTCGTCCCGTTCGCTACCCACTTGCGCCGTCCCCGGTAGATTGTTAAAGACGCCCCTAAGTCAACAAGTATCAAGCAGCAAAAGTCGTAGGCAAGACAAGAGAACAGATAAACCTAAACGGAATCGGTTTTTTGAAAGGATAAAATACAAGGAAAATATAATGAGCTAATTTCCTTTCGAGATTTTTTCCCAATAGCGGACCCAGGTTTTGACCAGGAAACAAAAAAAATAAAAAAAATAAAAATATATATATATGTAAATTATAGCTCGTCATTTAGTTGACCTCCAAATAAGGAAGCTCGGAGCAAATTTGCCGGTTTCTGGTTTATTTTAAAAACATCTCCGTCAATCACGGGGAGTCACCGGCCAATCGTCGATTTATCTTACTAACAACTCTACTGACAGCTGTCAGTTGTTTTTTTTTTTTTTTTACGACCCAGGATCACTGAAAGGTTAATTCATATGAAAGCCGAACCCGTACTTGGGTTATGTCAGGTTAAAAAGGTTATTAAAATGTGAGCGGGGGGGGGGTTTGCTGGAGT